TTGGTGTCAGCTAGCAGGAGGGTAAGTTCCTCCTGCTTGTTCCCCATACTACGAGCGTTTGTGTAGAGGCATTTGAGGCCTCCTGTGGATGTGTGCACTGGCCCCCTATTCTCAGCATTGCCCTGGCCCCTGTCGCTCACCTGTGTATATGTTCTGCTCGGCGGTCTATGCTGAGCTGTACTTGTGAGTGCTGCTTGGTTTGGCAGTCCAAGGCTTCCTCCTCCCTCGTCTTCCCCTTCTCCCAACGAGCCTAGTTTAAAGCCCGCAGGGGGAGATCTGCCAACCTGGAAGAGAGCACGCACTGGCCCACTTCCTAGTGGGGATCATGAAAGTGCAAGGAGAGCGGGATTCGTTCTAATAACTTTCTTACATTTGCATCTAGTATGTGGCAACATTAAATGATCCTTTTTGAAATAATAAATATTAGCCGTTATCGTCTTCAGAGGAAATGTAGGCTTTTCAGGCAAAGTACATCCAGGCACCGTTTCAACCTGATTAGCAGCCTTCGTGTCTCATTCATCTGCCGTTAAATTTTCATTACTGCAACGTTCCTGTTTCTTTCAGAAAGTACTTTTTGGGGGGGGGCGGAATTCACAAATTTCAACATGACCTTTTGGCAACCCTATTTAAATCACTTTGTCTCCTCTTGCATTAACTAAATGCATTAGTTCTCTCCAGTGTGTGAGGTTCAAAATGTATGCAGATGATCTTAATTGCTGATCTTCAAGTAAGGGATGTCTCCAGTGGAAGGAGGCCTTGCTATTTTTGTAGGGTTCGGTACCATGTTTCTCAAGGCAACTTTCTGGAACTTAAACTCTGTTTTTTAAGGGGGAGAGGGATCAATCCTGCCCATTCTTTTTCCTTCCTGTTCTTTCATTGTGTCTATCTCTGGGACAATCAGAGAGAAGGATACTTACTTGGACGTTGTGAGATGGTCTGTATAATTGTCCTGACTCTATTCTGCGCCCTCGACAATCAGACCTCCCACCTCAGAATTGCTTGTAAACTGGAGGCCCTGAAGGGACTCGGCCAAACATCACCAGGTCCCTACACCAGAATCACTAACTCAGAAACTACTGGAGTGGATTAAACAAACTTTCATCGAATCATAGAAAAGTAGGGCTGAAAGGGACCTCCAGAGGTCATCTGCACCACCCCTCTACCTGAGGCAGGATCACCTCTATCTGAACAAATGCATTGTCTGAAACACATCCAGAACAAGTGGATAGAAAACAGGCTGGAGCATCAGACTCAGAGGGTAGCAATCAATAGCTCAGTGTCTAGCTGGCAGCCGGTATCAAGTGGAGTGCGCCAGAGGTCAGTCCTGGGTCTGGTTTTGTTCAATGTCTTCATCAGCAACCTGGAAGATGGGACGGAGCGCGCCCTCAGCAAGGTTTCAGATGACGCCAAGCTGGGGGGAGTAGTGGATACACTGGAGGGAGGGCTAGGATTCAGAGTGACCTAGACACATTGGAAGATTGGGCCGAAAGAAATCTCATGAGGGTTCAACAAGGACAAGTGCAAAATCCTGCACTTAGGAGGGAGCAATCCCATGCACCAGTGCAGGCTGGGGCTGACTGGGTGGGCAGCACCTCTGCAGAAAAGGACCTGGGAGTTACAGTGGGCAGTAAGATGAATATGAGCCAACAGTGTGTCCTTGTTGCCAAGAAGGCTAATGGCATCCTGGGCTGCATTGGTAGGTGTGCTGCCAGCAGATCAAGGGAAGTGATTCTTCCTCTCTCTTTAGCACTGGAGAGGCCAAATCTGGAGTCCTGTGTCCAGTTGTGGGCCCCCCACTACAGAAAGGATGTGGACAAATTGGAAAGAATCCAGAAGAGGACAACAAAAATGGTTCGGGGACTTGCAGAGAGGCTGGGGGAATTGGGCTTAATTAGCCTAGAGAAGAGAAGACTGAGATGGGATTTAATAGCAGCCTTTGACTATGTGAAAGGAGGGTTGCAAAGAGGATGGAGCTGGACTGTTCTCAGTGGGGGCAGATGACAGAACAAGGAGAAATGGGCTCCAGTTGCAACAAGGGAAGTTTAGGTTAGAGATTAGGAAAAACTCGCTGAGTAGTAGGGTGGTGGAGCACTAGAACAGGTTACCCAGAGAGGCGGTGGACTCTCCATCCTTGGAGGTTTTCAAGACCTGGCTAGACAAAGCTTTGGCTGGGATGATCTAGTTGGGGCTGGTCCTGCTTTGAGCAGGGGGTTGGACTAGATGTGACCCCCTGAGGTCCCTTCAACCCTTGTTTTCTATGATTCTAAGTCTTATACAAATCCATTGTCGAATCTCTTGGCCAGACTACATAGTCAACCTTGATACAGCACAAGACATAACACCCTAACTTGCCAAATGTTATGATATTCCCTAGGATGGATATATTTCTCTCTTCTGCACATTGAACTCCATCTTCATACTTCCCCCTGCACTCCAAATCAATTTGACATTGCAAACTATATCCCCATAAATCTCCTGGAGCTGAGCACAGGGTGAAGGGTGGTGGCGAGAGTGGACTTTAATTTAGTGGACCTCCTACACAGTGTTATATGCAGCTAAAACCACTTACACCACTGCAATTAGGTAGTCTTCAAAAAAAAAAAAACCAAAGCAAACCCTGAAGGTACAGTATACAAACAGGAAAGGTGACAGCATTTGTATGCCTAAGCCGGGTTCTGGTCTGGGTAGACTGGTTTGGTAGAGCCAAGAAAGCCTTTAAGGTCAAAGTACTAAATTACCATGATGTTACATTTCTTAATAGGACAGGCTCACTTTTTAAATGACCTTCATCAAATTTACAGTCTAGCCACATCAGGCTGTTTGTGAAATGACTCTCATCTCCCTCTGCAGCTGTCTCACTGTAGCCACTGACCTGTGGCACTCGGTGCTCATAAGCCTTTCATGGATACTAATGTGTTGCTCTATTTTTTCCCAACAGGGAATATGCCACAGCGAATTTGAGTACTAATCTCTACACTGTGAATGAGCCTTGGCTTTACTCCATCCTGTGGTGCGCTGGCGTTCAGTCTGTCACATCTGATAGCTCGCATATCCTCAGCAAGGTGCCTTTTCCCATCTGGATACTGGTAAGCAACACAAAATGAAGAATATGCAGACAGCTCCTAAATTTGCCTGCAGTGAGGTCTGAATGGCACGGTGACGGTGCACTGAGGTTGGTTGTAGATAACAGACATACCTGTGGAGGCGTAATTTAAATTCTTTATTGCCAAAATTTTAAGCAGGGGTTCCTTCAGAGAGGTTTCCTGTCCTACGTATGATATGCCCTAGGTTGGATATTTTTCCCACTTCCCCACACAAAGCTCCATCTTCGTACTTTCCCCCCATCCCAAATCCATTGCTGCTCCTTTTGCCGTGTTCCCTTTCACTTAGTACCTCTCTGCTCACCACGCTCCATCTCCCAGGTGCCTCAACTGAGGTTGCTGACCTGCTGCGTCACTGCTGCCATGAGGAGTCGCTCGCCGCAGCACCATTGATGGAGGTGGGGTGGGTTTTCCGGCAGTTTTGGGGCTGTGGAGAGACCAAGTGGAAAGTGGACCCCCCGCCTCGTTGGTGAACTAGGTGGTCATCTGGAGAAGGAACTTCCTTTGCTTCCAGAGGCGAGCAGGTCTCCTGAATGCTTGGTAATAGGGGTGATGGAGCTGGACTCCCGGCCGATGGATGGGAAGTGCAGTTCCAGGCATTGTCCTGGTTTCAGCACAGCATAGAGTCTGAATGACGGGCAAGCAAGCAGTGGTGGGTACGCAGAACGGTTGCAGGGGCTGCAGGACTCGCCAGAACTTCGTAGAGCCCAGGCCTCGTATCTGAATGCAAAATGGAGATGTGGGGCTTAGGGAGAGGAGGTTACATGCACCTCTCCCTGCCACCTGGACACATTGGCAGGGGCTGGGGGGCACTGCAGTGTCTATTAGCAGCGGCAACAGCAAGCACGCTCGGAGAGCTGCAGTTGTGAACGGATGGCTTTAGCACTTCAGCCTCCCCACTAAACACAATCCATTTTTGCACTTGATTTATCTAGTCACTATGAGAAATAGCCTTATTGGCAGGGGAAAAGACCTTGGAAAATCTTGAGTGTCGATGTGTTTCGGTCGTGGGAACGTTGACCCAGAGGAGCGGTCAGGTGAAATTGCCCTGTCTGGGGTTTCTCAAGACAGGATGGGGCAGTCCAGGTCTGAGGGTCTGCCATTTATTTTCATAGATTCGTAGACTGCAAAGCCGGAAGGGACCTCTGAAGATCATCGGGTCCAACCCCCTGCACCAAGCAGGAAAGACAACTGGGGGCCAAGTGACCCCAGCAAGGTGACTGTCTAGTCTCTTCTTGAAGATTTCCAGGATAGGCGACTGCACCACCTCTGAAGGGAGCTTATTCCACAGTCTGGACATCCTGACTGTGAAGAAGTTTTTCCTAATGTTGAGCTTGAATCGATCTTCCAGGAGTTTGTGGCCATTACTCCTAGTTTTCCCCTCGGGTGCCCTGCTGAGCAGTTGCTCTCCAAGCCCTTGATGTAGCCCCCTGGTGTAGCAGAAAGTTGCTACCATGTCACCTCTCAGCTTCCTTGTCCTCAGGCTGAAGAGTCCCAGATCCCTCAACCTTTCCTCATGTGGCTTGCCATGCAAGACTCTGACCATACGGGTGGCTCTTCTTGGGACTCTCGCAAGCTTGTCCGCAAGCTTGTTAAAGTGCGGTGCCCAGAACTGGACGCAGCACCTCCAGTATTTTAACACAGTACTGGATGCAGTCTCTTGCAACATTGCAAGGCTTTATTGCCAACTCGCAAAGCTGTTGCTTATCTTCCCCCCACAAGGCACTGCCATCTCTCTTGTACGCTGTCGGGAGCCTCATCACTGTTGCAATGGAGCAATGTACTTGGAAGTTGGGGAGGTGCGTGACTAAATGTTACTTGAGTGGCAGTTGATAAGACCTAGCTCTGTAATTCTTGAAGCACTTTGCAGAGGAGGAATGGTGCCGCTGTCCCCCTTTTGCAGATGGGGAAGTGGAGGCACCACTTTGCCTTGGAGTAGCCTACAGGTCAGGAATAAAACCCAAATGTTCTGAGCTGTCATTCAGTTCTCACCCCCGTTCCTAATGCCAGGCTGCTTCATTACTACCAGGTCTGCATAGGAAGTAGGCAATGACTAAGTGCAGTGCTGCAGGTGTGCTAATTAGCTCTGCTGCCATGGTGCTAATTAACCCTGGTGCAGCACTGTGACATACATGTGCTGCTGCTTTCTGTCCCGTGCAGGGGGCAGTCTTATGCCAGGAAAGTTCAGGGGAGGTTGGGCCACGAGGTAGGAAGGTTGTGGGGTTATGTGTATCAGGTTGGGGGTACAGGTTTAGGGGTGGTCAGCCGTGTTGTGGCAGAAAATGGAAATACTCAAAAATACTAACAACCTTGGTCCTGATCTCAAAGCTCACTGAATATGGAATCAGCCCCCGCCACGTGCCAAGAGATGCTGGGATCCTTGCATTGTCTTCCAAGAGATCATGAAGCTTTTGGTCTCTTCTTCCAGGAGCTGACTGGCTTAGTCCTGGCCAAATACTAACTGGGCTGACTGTATTCTCCTCAAGAAAATTTCTCTTGGCTACAGTGTTCTTCATTTCCTTTTGTGCAGAAATGCTGCTGGGTGCTGTAACACTGAAATGGGAGCTCCCCCAGATGGATGGTCCACTATAAATGCATCACCGGTGTCCAACACACCCATGCCCTCAGGCTGGGTCTGAACCCAGCAGAGGTGGCAGTAGGACGGGCAGCGGTGCGGGGGTTAATGTAGCTGTCGCTCACTCGTGCGCCACTTGTGCACATCACCAACGGGGCTCCATAGCCCACCCCCTTGAATTCCTAGCCCCTCCAGGAGCCCTGGGGGCTGGGGAAAATGGCTCTGAGGCTGGATCTGGCTTGCAGGATGCATCACTGATGCCCCTGATCTAAGCCAGGGGTGGCCAACCTGCAGCACGGGCAGCCTCTGCGTGTGGCAGAGGAAAAAGGAAAAAGCTGAGCAGCAGACTGGGCAGGGAGCACAGTTTGGAGCAGAAGCAGAACAGCAGATCAGGTAGGAAGCAGGAAGAGCGATGGATCAGGCAGGGGAAGAGGATGAGTGGCAGGGTGAGAGGGCTTCATCTGTGGCATGCCTGCCAACATGGTGTGCACTACTCCTCCAAGTCGTTCCTTCAAAATCCTGCTCTCAGTTAGATCTTGCGGGTGATGGGCCCCTGAAAGGGAGAAGAGGTGTGTGCCGGCTAGGGCCGAATGTGGAATAGGAAGATAAGATGGGTGGCTTGCAAAGAACAGACCTGATAAAAGAAGAAACCTCTTTGCATCAGAGGTTAGCATTTAGAAAGGCAAGCAGCTCATTCCCACCAGCCTCAGTGGAAGCCGTGGGCATCAGAGAGAGAGTTTGGCCACAAAAGTGGTATTGCCAAGTACTTGATGATGCTGTGCAAATTATTAAACACCTCTGACTAAGCTGCGTTGTAATGCATACCATAATTGCCTGAACTCTCCTCATACTCCAAACGCCTAGCCTCCGCGTGATTCATGCCTGGTGAAGGATGTGTAGACTAAATCAGTGTCCTCCAGAACAGATTGCAACTTGGGAGCCGAAGCAACCCTTTTATTATTTCTGAAAGGCGGTTATCTCCGAGGCACTTTGCTTTGTGCTGGTTGAACTGATGATCAGGTGTGCCCGAGGGCTTTGTTGCACTTCATCTCGGGATGAATAGGGATGTCACTGCCATTTGCGGCGGTTTGTGAGGCCGTGTCAGCTGCATCAGTCTCTCTGGTAACCGTAGCTCTGTGCTGACATGCACGCTCGCTCACACCCTCGCTTGTCCTCCCCGTCAGCCAGCTCCTCCCCGTTATTGTTCTGAGTTCAACACGTAAATTCGGTTCAGCTGCACAGAAAAGCAGCTGCAGTGCTGTTATTTTAGCAGGCACTTTACACTCGTCATTGCCGCTGCCAAGATGTGACACACGGGTTTGTGAGGTGTGACTCCGTTCTCTTCCAATTATGTAGGTGTGCTTTTCCATTTCAAACTAGGCATTTTTCTCTGTGTTTTGCCATGAAATAATGACTGTTTCCCACACACACCCCCTCATATAAATAGCAATAGTAATAACCAAGAGTAGACTCTGATAGGACAAGGTTTGCAAAGTCTGGGTAGGAGTTCAATTTCTAGATCTCCTTTGGGGATGGATTTGGTAGCCGTGTTGGTCCAAGACCAAAAGAAATGCAAAGATCTAGGACTCTTGGTTCAGAGATGAGACCTTTTACCGCAGAAAAAGATATATTTTTTGCAATTCCTTAGTTGGTCTCATAAAAGGGTTCATCTCTGAACCACGAGTTCTAGATTTTTGCATTTCTCAATCTCCCTTGCGCCTTTTCAACATTTTTCTGAAGGAGAAGAGCCAAGGTGCGAATTCCCCTGTCCAACACAAGATTGAAGCAGCATTAAGTTCGTTTGCTGTGTGGCAATCTCATGAATGGGACACAACTATTAAATTCAAAATATGCTTTCTAAGGGAGGCTCGCTACTGTATTTCTTATAGCAAGATTTCCATCATAAATCAGCCGGTGAGAGCTCACTAGTCGCTGGGCAGGTCTCAAACCATATGAGCTCAATTATATGTCTGTGCAGAACAGTTGTGTTCGGTGACCCATTCTCCTTTCCCAGCAGTGCTGTGTATTAACTGTTGAGGGAAGATTTCTGTTAATGTGTTTGCAGCACACCGGGGAACTCATAAAGTATGTGTATTGAAAAATCTAGCTCTTCTGTGTTAAGAAAAACATGTATTTCCTGTAATAGGTTCTATATTTTCAAACCAGCAGAGATGGATTCCTTTAATGTCAAGGAAAGGATGTATATATCTTGTGTGCGTGTGCACGTGTGTGTGTGTGTAAATGAAACCTTCTATGAATGATAGAGCCGTTTGGAAAATAAAATGTCTCTACCCTGTTATTGTGATCTTTGTGTTTTGAACTATTGAAAATTGTAAATTTTGGTAGAGGAAGTTCCAAAAACTGTAGGGTTAGGGATGGCCAAATGAAAACGTGACCATTTCAATCCAATTGTTTAGTTTTGTAATGCTGACATGTGCACCTAAACATTTTTTTTTTTATTGTTAGTCTTCTTTCCAAACAATCGGAAAACTTAAATCAACTTGGTTTTTCACCATTAAATAATTCCTGTTCTGGCAAAACCCTATGTTACTATACATCAGCAAAACTTTGCGAGTCAAAAATGTCAGTCGGCTCTAATAATGTATGTATGCAACGTACATTTGGTTTGTATGTTTTTAATATTGTGTGTGGTTGTGTGCATGCATGTGTAGGCGTACAAGGACCAAAACTCCACTGGACATGATGGATTCTTCTTGGCTTGTCCGGCTAGTTCTGCGATCCAGCTTTTCCAATATCAACTCGAATATGTGAAGACATTAAAAAAACCACAGAAACAATCAAAAGCTGTTGTGTGCAGTGAGGTAGAACGAAGGTTGCTGATGGAAGCATAGTTTAGCTTAGCTCTTCCCATATAAACCTAGCATTGCTTTAACACAGCTTTTTACATTACATTTTCTGTTATTAGATCCAATACAATTACTTGTACTTATTAGTGTTAAAATATGTACGGCCCGATGTGCCTCTAGAATTGTGTGTGGACTCAGGACCTGAGTTAAAGGATTGAGCTAGGAAAAGGTTGGAAGCATCTGAAAACAGTTTTTCTTTGTGGGCAGGCTGGAAGAGAGGTACATCAGTTTACATTGCTGGCTGTATCTTTCCCACAAGTGAACTCTGAACATGATTAAAAGTGACTTTTGAAATCGTTGAAATGCTTTTAAAGATAGGTACTGTTTATCTGGCAAAGTCCTTAATCCCCCATTCAGGAAAGTACTTTCTTTAACCCTGGCGCTGGCCATGAAGGGACCTACTCCCATACTCAATCGGATCAGTTGGTATAAAACAGGGGTCAGCATCCTCTTAGAGCTATGGGGTGCTGCTTCTAACCTGGCTGTCACTCCACTGGTTGCCAGTTTTGGGGGGGGGGGGTTCTTTCCTTTTCACTCTGCCCCAGATCCAATCACTTTGTGGGCCCAATCTGGTCTGCAGGTCATAGCTTGCAAACCCTGGTATAGAAGATCCATTGCACTCTATGGAGTGATGACGGTTTACCCCAGTTTATAATCTACCCCTTGAAGTAAGCATGGGCCTAAATGGGGTCATGCTGAGGAAAGGGTTGGGAAGTCTTGGCCTAAGTACTGTGCTGAATTGGGGCCTTCCCCTCGATTGGTACGGTATGCTGGGCAAGTTTCAGACTTGAGACCTTTCTGTTCTAGACGTGATTACAAATTTTAATTTGGTTAGGACGTTACATGCATGCATGTCTGTCTCTGTGTGTGTGTGACTTAATATCCCACGTGCTAATGTTATTCGCAGAAGTTGTATAAATAAAAACTCCCGTGGGTAATGTGTGTGTGTGTGTGTGTGTGTGCATGTCCGCATATTTATCTTGTATAAATAAAAACTCCTGTGGGTAATGTGTGTGTGTGTGTGTGCGTGCGTGCATGTCCACATATGTATTGACATAGATCTCTATCTATATATAATCTCAATAACCCATTTACTCAAATTATGCACAGGAGTTTACGTTTCGTATCATTTCATATGTAAAATAAAAACTGTGGGTAATATCATCTGATGTAATACAAAAAATCCTGTGTATAATTTGAGCAATATATAATATGGATTATGGAGATTATATATAGATAGAGGTCTAGGTAGATGCATATGTAGACATGCGTGTGTATATGTGCGCACACCCGCACACACTCTCACTCGGACTTAGATTTGAAACCTTATCTAGAACAAAGCTGTATAAAACTCCGGTGGGTAACTTTAGTGGGTGGATAGATGTACATCTCATTTACTCAAATTATCCACAGGAGTTTAAACACCCCTGCAAGGTTGGGACAAGACATGGGAACTTTCTGTCCAAAACATGACTCCTTCAGAAAACTGTAATCATGTAGAAAGACAGGGATAGAATAGACACTGCTTTGCAGTTTTCCCTGGATGCCAGGGACGTCCCTTGCATGGGGACACTGCAGATTTTGATTTGACAAAATATTTTTTTACCTGGTTTCTTTAAAAGCCAAGAGCAAATTGGGCCTCTTGACCTGGGATTCAGAGTGCTATTATGCAGAAGTACCATATCTTGCATACAGTTCACACACTTTCCACTCAAAGAGGTTGCTGGAAAGTGGAGCTTGCATCATATGCAAGAAAATATGTTAAGAACAGTTTCGCCCACTTATGGGGCAAATGCCAAAGTAGTGTTCACTCAATCCACAGTGAGCAGACTCGCCTCCCTCACTATTGGTAGTTGGTTAGTTACTAGGGCTGTGTGATATTCCGCCTGCTGTTTTGTTTTGACAGTTTCTACCAATTTTGAGGTTGAAATGGCAAAATCAAAACAAAACATAGGCCATCGAAACAGCCTCAAAACAAAACGAGGCTGGTGAAACGTTTCGAAAGTCGAAACATTTTGACCATAGGCTGGGGATGGGAAATCAGTCCAGCTGGGCTGAGTTCCAATCCCCAGTGCAAGATCTGGTAGGGGGTGGGAGGCAGCCCAGCTGGGCTGCTTCCCCGTTCCCTGCACTAGATTGTGCCCGGAGTGGGAGGCAGCCAGTTGGGCTGCCTCTGTCTCTGGAGTGATCTAGCACTGGGGATGGGGAGTCAGCCCAAATGGTCTGACTCCCCATCCCCAATGAAACTCGAAACAGCGTTGAAACAGCCTTTCTGTTTCAACAGACCAGAACAGAACAGCTGTTTCAACTTGAAATGAAATTCAGTACAAAACACTGTTCCGCTGAACTGTCGAAACTCAAGAACGGTGCCATTTCGCACAGCCCTATTAGTTACTACAAGGAAGGATTTTTTTTTTCTTCATTCTGGCTTTCCAAAATAAGGTGTGCATTTTAATCTGGGGTGTATTGTATGTGAGAAAATATGGCAACTGCGGAGGTGGAGGAGATAGGTGTGGTCCAGTTCTGCAATGTGTATAGATGTTGTGAGGTTTTATGATATTTTTTGATCCTCATTTAATATACTGTACAATCTCTAGTATGTTGCATAAACCAGAAGGTATAATATGAGCTTATTTTATTTTATTTTTTGTCTTTCAGCCTCCAGACGAGTACTGTCTAATCTGGATAACATCTGATATCATTTCATTTACCATAATTGTAGGAGTTTTTATATTCCAGAAGTAAGTAAAATTGTTACAAGTCAGCTTTCATGTATTTGTGGTGTGCGTGCTCAGTTTAAGAGTGTGGGCTAGAGATGAGAAAAGCACAGTATTTGCCAAATGTTTGGTTTTAGGACACAGGTCATTTGTTGGGGGGGGGGGCGTTAAAAAAAGATAATTTCTCTTCCTTCCTCCTTCAGCATTCAGTTGAATGACGTTACTATAAGGGTATGAAGATGCTTAAGAAGAGTAAGGAGTCCTGAAAAACAGTGGTCATAGTATGGCTTTTGCTAGGGCACCTAGGAAAGGGACCATCAATGCTTTGGGGAAATAGATGCAAAGAAGTTTTATTTTGGAAGAAGAGAAGGAAACTTTGGCAGAAAGTTTGAAATTGTTGTGACCTAACTGCCCACGCAGCAGTTTTTACACTAGTTAGAGTGGAATTTTCTCAATTTTCTCTGAAGAAGAGAGGGGAAGATGACATTGAGTAATGACGCTTCTCTGAAGATAGCATAGCGATGCTTGCTTGTGATATCTCAGTCTGAGGGGCAAACATCCTCATTAATCATCAGAACAAACAAAGAATATAATTCAGTACTTCCATATGCTCCTAGGGTTCAGAATTAATTTTTTGGCAGGTTGCAGGTAAATCAGCAGTGACGTGACTTCCTAATAACTGTTCCAGGGGAATCTCTCTAGACTACGTTTTTGGGTCGTGTTCTATGTGACAGCATTACCAAGCTGCTGTCCTTTTGGTTGAGCTATGGCATCTCTCCTGAAATTTGCCTTTCCTCCCAAGAGAGATGTTTTATGGCCAACTATGACAGTGTTTTTACCCTTTTTAAGAACTTGAACTCAGAAATAACTGGAGAGAATTTCAGCATCCTCCTGGAGAAATGTGAAGCTTTGTCCACTTCTCTTTTCTTCTGTTTTTTTTTTTTTTTAACTTTGTAACTGCCTCTTGCTTTGGCACATTTAAAGCACCATGGGGCCAGGTACTGACTGGCCTGCAATTTCTTCCTTCATTGGTATCACAAATGTCTGAGCCTTAGGCCTAGCAGTGTCACATGAAACATCCGCTTCAGCTTCATGAGCTAGTGATTTCGCTGTCACATTGCCCTGACTCATTTGCTTTGCAGATAATTCCCCACGTGTGGATAATTTCCTTGGTATTTTTGTAATGAGTTACAATAGAGTGCAGCTGCTGAGACCATCACTTACTGATTGGATTCCCTGCCAGATGCTAGACCTTTTGTACCTAACAGCCCATTCTGCTGTCTGCAATTTTGCCATCCTCTGAATCTGGCAACCAACTTCCATGCCTTGTGTAAATTTGAAGCAACAAAGTTATGCCAGCAATGAGTTTGGTCTGTTGACTTCAATATGGTGGCAGAAGTACAATTGACAAAGTGCTGGGTTTGATATCTCCACATAACACTAAGCACTTTTCCAATAATGTAATTAAATGAAACCAAAAATCAGTCTGCAAAGTGATTCCATTTTGGGTATACTTTAGACTTAAAGAGCAGAGTCTTTGAGGCCAGAAAGGATCCTTTATCGTCATCATAGTCCAAGCCAGAGAGGAATTTCATCTGGGATAAACTTAAGCAAATAATACAAGTAAAACCCTTAACCCAAGAATAATGCCAAATAGGGAAGCATGCTGACTGCTCTGGATGAACGGTGGACTTGCAAGTATGTCTTGCTCTTCATATCAGGAGTGGAATTTCAAGGCAATAGTGACAGTCATTTGATTGTCTGTCTTTAACTCAGTTTTTCAGCATTTTCTCTGAATCCTGTCTACACGTGCAGGGAGCCTGGTCCAATGCATTGGTAATCCAGTGCGTTAGAGCAGACCCAATTAATTGAGTCTGCTGGAGCACGGAAATGAGTGCACTCTGGCAGCCTTCCACGTCACGTGTATCAGCATCCCTGTGCGTCCCCACGCTGAAAAAATGGCGGCGAGGCACTTTGAACTAAAGCTCATAGAACATGTTTTATGTCAAAGTGCCCCACCATCACTTTTTCAGTGTGGGGGCACATGGGGACACTGACACGCATGACGTGCAGGTGCTTTTAATTAGTGCTGCTCACTAATTAAAGCACCCAGCACCACATCCCAGAGCATGTGTAAAAATGCCCTAAAAGTCTGCATGTTAAATGAAGAAGCTTTCAAATTTGTTAAACCGTGTGAGCTACATGTCTACAAATGGGTTCATTTAGGCTTTTAACCCAGACTGCTGAGATCCCAGGGAGATAGGATTCACGTCCAGAAATGGGACTGTACAATACCTAGATTTCCCCATGGATTTTTTTCTCTGAGTCTTCACATAGATTTAACTGCTTTAAATTTGGGAGTATATTGATGAAGAGAAGAAAGGAGAATGTCAGGAATGGAAATGGATGGGAAGGGAATGGAAAGACTATAGGAAAAGGGGAGGAAAAACAGGCTTTGAGGGAGTGGTAGAAATGTTCTGTGTAGGGCTTGTACTGTACAGCTGCCATCCCAAGAAGCATGTGGAGGTGAACAGAGCAGATGAACTAAGAGGATATGGATAGGGTAGGGGTGGTGAAAATATGGCTCGCAGGCCAGATCTGGCCTACCAGGCCATTCTACCCGGCCTGCACGGCCCCTACAGAATTTAGAAAATTAATATTTATGTGCTCCTGGCTGCTTGTCAAAGCTAACAGGAGCCAGGGGCAGTAGGACACAGGAGCCCAGCCCCGCCCCACCCCGGGGCATTTCCCTGCCTTCCTGCCTGTGCACTGCTCCAGCATCATATGGCTCCTGGCTGCATTGCTGGATTGTAGGAGCACAGGGCCACGCTGGTCCTGGGAGGGGAGAGTTGTGTGTAGGGAGTGTGTGTGTGTGTGTATTCATAGGATGAGTCCCACATGTACCCCCCCGTTGCACTGCCATACACATAGACTCCTGTACCCACACCCCCCTCACATTCCAGCCACCCTCCCCCGACACACATTGCCCCCACAGACCCTATACCCATCCACACCCACATTTGTCCTCACCTCGCACCCACACCCCCCACACTTATCCACCCACACCCTCCCTCACACCCCACATACCTACAGCCCCTCTCAAACCTATATGCACCCTGCAATATAGAAGAGTAAAACGTCATTTTGAACTATTATACAATCCCCTCTGTGTACATTACACAAATGCATGTAAACCAGGACAAAAAATATTTAAAAAAATGAAACTAATGAATGTTTTAGAGATTTGCTTTTTAGAATATAATCTGGTATTTTTCTGGTTCCAAGATAGCAAAGCCCCTTGCTGAAAGGAGTACTTCTGGGGGCAAGGGGAGAGACTTCATGTGTCAAAGGTCAGGGGCTAGGGGGCGGGGTTGCCAATCACAAGTTGGCGACCAAGGGGCGGGGCACCTGTCAAGGGGCGGGGCTACCCATGCGGCCCTCGACAGCTTGCCAAAACTTGGTAAACGGCCCTCTGCCTAAAATAATCACCCAGCCCTGGGATAGGGCAAGGAAGGCATTAAAGGAACAGCGTGCAGCAAATCCCTGGGCCATCTGGATGTGAGGGTAAGAAATGCTAAGACATCGCTCCTGGTCTCAGAAGTACTTTTTGTGGCCAAAGGACCAGTTCAAAGTTGGCGCAAGTTGGGGAGGACTCCAGTGACACCCACTCTTACTTGAGTCTGAACTTGGATTCACTTCCTGGCCTACAAAGTGACAGAGCCCGCGGGGCAGAAGTACGGCTCTCATGGGCCATCTAGACTCGCGGGGTCAATCAGTAAGTGGTGAGCTCACGCAGCTGGCACTCTTATGGCACGGCACCAAATTGCACTCCAGGAAACAATGCCAGGGATTCCATTTGCCATC